CCGAGCGCGGACTCTGGTGAATAGAACCCTGCCTAGGAAGGGCCGCCAACTACGCCCAAGGCGTGTGGTCCGTGCGGGGCCCGCGTGGGACCCAAGGCTTCTCGGTGTTTCCAAGTATTTGCTAAGGGTTTCAGAGAGCAAGTGGACAGTGGACAGCCCTGTACTGTACTCTTGACATCCCGTGCCCTCCTGTGTCCATGGGCAGTGGAGACCCTAGGGAGAAACCACTTGGCGCTGTTTAATTTAGGAGGAACGGCCGACATTAGGGCTTTGGCATGTGCTGTCTTCCACTGGATACCTAGAGACTTGCAGATACTTGGAGGAACAGGCTGTCACTCGTTTTCAAAATGTGTGCTCACTGCAACTCTGACCTTTCCTGCAGGAAGCTTTCCTATGCTTGAATCTGTTCGATTCAAACACACATTGGAAGCGATATTCCCAACATGGACAAGGCAGAGGACATGTTTTTTAAGCTCTGAATGAAACACTCCCAAGCTACGGGGGCCGCCCGGACAGCAAGCCTGGGAGACGGCCCTGAGGCGCCGGTGCAGCCTGGCAGGCTGGCTTAAGTAGGTCCTGGCAGGTCCCCACGCGCCGGCCCCAGCCCATTCTGGTCTGGCTGGGCTCTCATTGGCTGAGGAGTGGACTGGACCCATGGGCCGCGCTGTGTCCATACATGTCTGCCTCTGGGGAGCAGCGCGCCGCCTGCGTGGGCAGCCTCCGCATCGCCCTTGGAGAAGTGTCACCGAGGAAAGGTCAGCATGCAGGGCGTGCCCGACAGGGAGGGCCTGCTTCTGGGTTTTCCAGTGCAGCCTCAGGGCCTCATACCCTGACAGGGCCCTCCTGCCCGCACTGAGCCGGGTGCCCACACTTCCCCTCGCCGGCCAGTCCCCTCACGTCTTCACACCCCCAGCCCCGTCTCGTCCGGCCTCAGCTTTCTCAAGGGCTTCCTATCAATTGAAACATGACTTGGCAAAACACCTGGGATGTGCTTTCATGTTCAGCGCATTCTGGTCACCATCCCGAGGCAAGTAAGATAGGTGCCACTCATCATACTTGCATATTCACTTCTCTTTTAAAAGAGAAACTTGAGGCTTAATGAGCTGCACAGCCCATCCCAGGCCCCACAGCAGCTGGCGAAACGCAGAGGCCGGGGAGTGACCAGGGCAGGGCGAGCCTGCTGTCTCTACTCTTCCTCAACACACTGAGGTCCCTCGGGGGATCTTTTCCGGTGAACAGCCAAGGGCGGCCTGAAGCGAAAAGCCTTGGCTGCCCCAGCAGCTCTCCTCTGTTGTTGCAGGAAGAGCAGTCTCACTGATGACCAGAGCTGACCGGGGAGACACCCCAGGAACAAGGCGGTCGACAAACCTCCAGACTCGCGCGCCTCACATGCTGGGTCCACCCCAGCAGACACGGAGGGCTTGGCCTTTCGACCGCTTTCCTCCTCTCGGAGCTACTGCTCTGCACAGGCCACCCGTAAGGGCCTGACGATCCTAGTGGAGCAGTGCCCCTCGCCAGCCATCTTCTTTCTACCACGGATAAAGAAGCCAAGCAGATCAGGACTTACTGTCCCCTCTGACGGGCTGCGTGACCAGGTCATTTCCAGGAAGACTCAGCATCCTCAGCCGACACAGCACATAGCCCTGGAGAGGCTGTGAAGACCGAAACGAGGGGAGTGCCCGGGATGCAAGATGCACCTGCACCGTGTCTCGATTCCAGCGACGAGGTGGAGGGCGATGAGAAAGGCAGGAAAGGTGGCAGAGAAGGTTAGGAGCTGCTGGGACTGTTGCCGTTTGTACATCACGGTCACCATGAGGAGCAGGGAGTCAATGTCATCTTCATTGTTTTTGGAATGCACACAAGAAATGTGTGCAGAGACTTATTCTAGCACTGTTTAGAATGGCAAAAAGAACCATCTGATAACCATGTGTTTTAATTTTTAAGGGCAAGACAGCGAGCGAGGAAGAGTGAGAGCAAGGGTGTCAGATTAATTACAGTCCAGCCATATGCTCTGCTCAAGTTATCATGTAGCCGTGAGGAAGCCATCTTCATCGTGAAGAATATTCAAGATGTTCCTATGATGATGTTTTGTGGCTTCCAAAGGCCACAGGATATAAGAAGATAAATGGCAGGTCTGCGGTTTTAAATTCACACTGGGGTGGGAGGCGAATGGGTAAAATTGTCTAGAAAGGCCTCTTAGGAGGGGAGATAATAGTTTTAAAAAAGGTTGAGAATCACTGGATTAAAGATACAGAGAAATGCTCACACTCTCTCACATGAGTAAAGCGGGCTACAAAATACAACAGTATATACACAGTCCAAAACATTTGGAGAAATATTTCAAAATGGTAACTAAAGTTACTTCTGGCTGGTAGGACCACAGGGGTCTATTTTCTTTTTTGTAAATTTTCCATTCTCTACAGTTGTTTTCAATTTAGAATTACACAGTATTATTATTTTAAATGGATACTGGCATTTAACGAGTGGATTTATTTCCACAGGAATACAGAAGGTTATTTTACCTCCAGGTATTGTCAAGACAAGACGTCCAGGGACGGCAGGTGGGGCCCCACCCGTGTCTCTGTGGCTAGCCTCAAGACGTCCAGTGTGGGGACAACAGCAGTGCGGAGCGAGCAGGTCAGCACCGGGAGCTCGACCTCCAGGGGCGCCGGCTGCCCCGGGTCCTGGGAGAAGAGCCACGACTCAGACACCCAGGTGTCAGGAGCCTTCGCCAGAGACGGGGTCCCCAGGTCTGCGTGACCCTTGACACAAAGTGTCAGGGAGCCTCCAAGCAGGCCGGCACACGGGCCTGCATGCCCTCTCCTCTCCTCATGGTCAGAACGCCCTCCTGTTGGGTTGTGCCAAGGCCCTAAGAGCAGCACTCAATGTCTGGGTGAATCCGGCGCTTTTCCAAGTCAGTGAGGTGTCTCTTTCTGTAGAAAGTACGTCACACAGCACCTGTGTACTCAGTGTCAGTTACTCGATTTATACAGAAACCACCAATGATTCTTTGATGAAGACAGTGTTGGGAAACCAACTTTACAAATGAAGGAGAAAATGCTCAAAATTATGGTCTTAATTTCATTTTTACTGTGAAAAAATATATATTGTTAAGGGACAGGGTGTCACTCTGTCACCCAGGCTGGAGTACAGTGGTGTGCAATCATGGTTCACTGCAGTCTCCAACTCCTAGCCTCAAGTAATCGTCTCGCCACCTCAGCCTCCAAAGTGCTGGGATTATAGGTGTGAGTCACCATGCCCGGCCCAGCTGAAATAATTTTTAGAAACCCAACCATGTGGAGGCTATAGCTATCGACTGTCAGAGACAGCACTCTCAGCACTTTGGGAAGCCGAGGCAGGAGGACTGCTGGAGCTCAAGAGTTTGAGACCAGCCTTGGCAACAGAGCGAGACCTTGTCTCTATTAAAAAACTAGCCAGGCGTGGTGGTGCTTATACTCCCAGCTACTCAGAAAGCTGAAGTGGGAAGACTGAGCTCAGGAGGTCGAGGCTGCGGTGAGCCATGATTGCGCTACCGCTACACTCCAGTCTGGGCAAGAGTGAGACCCTGACTCCAAAAAAGAGAGAGAGAGAGAGAGAGAGAGAGAGGCAGAGCTAGCAGAGTTAGCTTTCTTCTGCCTCCAAACAGGATGACCTAACCCTCGTAAGAGCGGTCGTTTTACATCCATGCAGTCAACGGGGCGTGGGCACGAATGGCTGTCCAGCAGTACTGTCCAGTCACAGCGGGAAGAATCACATTTGTGGCGGCACACGAAGGTAGCAGGAGCCTGAGCGTCCCAGAGCACTTTACTATCTAACAGGGTCACACAGGTGGGAACTGAACACTGACAGTCGACGTCTGTGTAAAGCCAAAGCCCGTCTCACAGCATGAGCACTCAGTGTGTTCTCGCTGGCTGTCGGACAAGCAGCTCCTCCCAACTGTCCCCAGTACCTTCAATGTATTCCTAGCCTGGACCTTAATGCTGGGCAAGCTACAAAGAGAAAAGGGACAGGCTGTTAATTTCCTTCCTCTGGTCAACATAAACAGCTCTGTTCACCTGCTCTTCCACATATGCTCAGGGCTGGACTCAGGCCTGCAGGGGAGAGGGCATGATGGCAGACCTGGTGAGACCAGGATCCTGCCTCTTCACCATGTTTAACTTCTGACCTTTTCAGCTGCTCGAGTGAGCTGGCTACTGAGCTAAGTTTAACGGGGCCAAGGCGTGGATGTGCCAGTAGCTCCCTGTCCAAGCTCTGGTCTTTATTTAAAGCTAGGTAAACAGTTGGTGATGACACGGTCAGGACACAGAAGCTTTGAGAGAACACTACTTTCAGTCACATCAGCGGCCATATTAGGAGAACCCACATTGGCTTCTAACATCTCTCATACTGTCCACTAGCTAGGCAGACGGTGGCAAAGCTGGAACTTAGTGAAAATCATTCTGAAAATACTTGAGCCTGACTGACTCTCTGTACTGAAAGATGACTATACTGTAAACATATTATCAACAGTAACTTATAGACAGGTTAGAAAGCTACAACTTTATTTTTTTCACTAAGACACTTTCATTAGTACTGATTAATTTATTTATGCTGAGAATGGGAATGCTCCCAGTGAGCAACTTCATCAGTTATCAAGCTCACAGGAGTCAGGCCCACTCTGCTCTGGCTTTTAGCCCCGTAGTAAGTCAGCAAAATTTGACATGCACATTACTAGGTGTTTCCCATCAGCCCTAGCCAATACAGATACCAAACACTCTAGTGTCTCTTCAGTGGACAACACCCACAGAGACAGCAGCTTCAGAGACAATCTAGCACAATCTTGCAATTCTGAGAGTTACAGAAACTGAGGCCTAGAAGTTCCTTGTACGTAGGAATAGCCAGGACCAAACCAGGAATTCTAGAACCCAGGTGAGATCTGGGAGAAAGGGCAGCATGCACAGGAACAACAGCCGACAGACGGCAGGAGGCAAATAGGAGAGAAAATACCATGACGCTAAAAACCAGAATTATCATTATACAACTATTTTATATTAACTTCCATATAAAGCATATAAAATTCAGCTATACATATTATAAAATTGTACAAGCTCCTAGGCCTACAATTTTTGTAAGGATACATTTACACAAATTTCAAAAGCAATGACATGTTTAGAAACAGTTACATTTGTCCCTGAACATAATACTCATAATTTGCTTTCAGAACAAACTCAAAGTACGGGTTAGACTTCAGGTTGCCGAGCTGGTCTGCCTGCAGCAGGTCTCTCACCTCTGGCAGGTACTCGCTGAGCTGAATGCCTGTAAACCCAAGCACAGAAGTCACTTTTCATTTGTATGAAACTCGCAGATGAATTAGGGTGATTGATGACTAAAACACCTGTGTTCTATTTAAAATATAATGTCACTTGGCTACTGGGAAATCCTCCCTCCTAAATTCCTTCCATCTGTCAAACGTACTTCCAAGTCTAACAATACGACATTCTCCAGAGGCTGTGACGGCTCTTCCCCCTAGTGGTCAGAATAGCCATTCTATTTAAAGTCTGGAGTAAGACCTGAACTGTTTTCGTTTTCCCCACAGCTTGAAAACAAGCATTTCACTTATATGGTCTCCTAGTTAGGGAATAACTTAGTAGAAACACTGTTATGAAAACTAGATACAGTATCTCAAAATGCATTTCAGCTTAACCCCAAATTAGATTGGCAAAAGAATCATTTCGTTACAAGTCATTCACAAAGCTGGGAAGCCAGTGAACACTAAACAGCTTGCTGAAGTTGAGATCTGTGTCTTAAGCTGAGCGCTTTGTAGCCAATAATACTTTATAATTTGCTACATTATCATAAGGTTCTCAAAATCAAATAGTGGTTTTAAAAAAAATTATCCTCAAAGTGTCTTGCATCATTTTTGGGTACTTGTTATACAATAAACATTTGGATTAATACGTGTTATGAAGCTAAATCTGAACACAATATTTGTACATCATTTATTATGATTAACATACTTTCAATAAAGAGTTCCTCTGTAAAATAGTAGTACACTTGTAAAGGTACATTAATTTCTAAAAGATTTCTCTAAAAATGTAACATATTATTTACTTTCATCTTTAAAGTCATGCCTTCTGCTTAGACCCAGTATCTGATGTTCATTTCTTTTTTTTAGCGAAGTTGAAACTCCAGTGCCTGCAAAGCCTTGCCAAGTAACAGAGGCCACATGAGTGGGGGTGGCTTGGGGCATGGCGGTGACCTTAGAACCAAGCAATGACCCAGCTGCAGGGGTAGTACGCTTTAGCTCCAGCTGCCTGTTGCCTCGTAAACATTTCAGTCTGGGACAGTCTTTGATTTCCAAGAAGAGCCAGAAAATAAGAACTATGCCCAACTATTAAATGCTGGTAACTAATTAGAAAAAAATGTAAACTCCATGTAAAAATATGTGATTTTGTCCTGTATGTAGAATGTACTTCAGGCAACATGCAAAAACAAACCACGTGGGTAATTCAGAAATGTCTGCAGAATGAATTCATCCGGTGAAGTAATTGCTTCACAGGTGGAAGCAATTGCTGGGCCATCAAAGCCTATGAAATACAATGTGAGGTTATCCGGATCTTCCTACCTTCAGAATCATCTGTCCTTTAAAAACATTTACTAGTGTACACAAAAGCCATATTGTTTAAAAGGTTCCAAAAATAAATGTCTTTGGCCAGTTGTTTTTTGGCTTTTGTTTTTAAAGTACTGCTTTTTCTTTCTTCTTCTTCTTCTTTTTTTTTGAGTTGGAGTCTCACTCTGTCACCCAGACTGGAGTGCAGTGGCCGCTCCCGGTCACCGCAGCCTCAACCCTGCCAGGCTCCGGCAATCCTTCCGCCTCAGCCTTCCAAGTAGCTGGAACTACAGGCACGTGCTACCACACCCGGCTAATTTTTGATTTATTGTAAAGATGAGGTCTCGCCAAGTTGCCCAGGTGGGTCTCGAACCCGCGGGCTCAGGCAATCCACTCACCTCAGCCTCCCAAAGGCGCGGGATTACAGGCTGAGCCACCAAGCCCGGTTTTTTTTTTTTTTTTTTGAGTTGGAGTCTCACTCTGTCGTCCAGGCTGGAGTGCAGTTGCACGCTGACAGCCACAGCAGCCTCGACCCCTGCTGGGCTCAGGTGATCCTTCGGCCTCACCTTCCAAGTAGCTGAAACTGCAGGCACGTGTCACTATGCCCAGCTAATTTTTTGATTTATTGTAGAGATGAGGTTTCACCAAGTTGCCCAGGCTGGTCTCGAACCCATGGGCTCAGGCAATCCTCTCACCTCAGCCTCCCAAAGTGCTGGGATTATAGGCGTGAACCGCGCCTAGCCAAAGTATTTCTTTAGAAGCAGAGATGGGCTCTCGGGCTCTCATTATATTGCACAGACAGGTCTCAAACTCCTGGCCCCAAAGATCCTCTCACCTTGGCCTCCCAGAGTGCTGGGATTATAAACATGAGTCATGCTTGGCCTGTTGTTATAATATATATACTTCTTATTTATATTAAAGCTTATACTAGATTTGTCCTTTGGTCAAGCTTAATTATTTTTATAAAATTTGCTTTCTATTCCTGTTTTCCACCTAGATTTTATAATCTACTAAGAAAAGCAAAAACTGCAAAGCCATCCTTAAATAATAGTGCCAGATACTGAATTAGACACAATTCAGTTCTGTGACGCCTTTACAAGAAACTACTTCATGGAAAGCATCAGATCTGAGTCCAAATGCTTTCTAATACTGTATCAGGCTCAACTGGAGAATACCTCTAAGTACCAAGAAATCAGTCATACTCAACTATGTCTTCAGTTTCATGCAAAGAAGTGAGAACGTCTTAAAGACACGTTTCAGCCCTTTCTGAGTGTCAAGTCTTTCCGGCTAAAGGTATTTCCTCTTGCTATATTCCCTCAGTGCTCTATTTTTAGCTCGCTCTTACTGCCGGACGACAGAAAAGTCCAGCTAACCGTCCTGTTCTCTGCTCATCTTTGAAAGCAAAAGCACTCCTTAAATACCCCGTCAGTGTGGTGCGAACCAGTGTTCGTGTTTCACAGATCCAAGTCCAGCCCATCCTGACCCAGTTCCAAGTAAGCAGTTTTTGCATTTGATCAGCTGTAAAAGGAGACTACCCATCTGAAAAGTGATGCGTGGAGATCAATGTGGATAGGCTCTAAAACGAAAGCTTCTGGAATGCAAACACAGAGTTTGTTTCTCTCGATTAGGATTTGTGTGCTGGGGTCCACAGTACTGCTCTGAAAGTCTCCTTCATTTCCCTTGGTTAAGTCAGTGACTCCAAAATGGAGGGCCGTCGACATGGGCAGAGGGGTGGGGCTGTGAACCTGCAAATACTTCTACATATTCAAAGAACAAATGTTTGTCAAGCAACTACTATGTGCCAGGCACTTGGCTGGGCATGTTTAATGTAGATTAAATAATGTGTCTTGCAGATATAAGTATAGAAAATATTCAAACGTATGTAAATGTCAACATCGGATGAATAAAATTCACATTCATTTAGAAAGACTGCTGAATTTATAACCACTTTGGTCATTGTGTATTTCTTCCAACTGCTGTTAAAAAGAGCATCATTGTATTTGAGAAGATCAGCAAACTCTAAGCCTATTTTTTGCACACTGCCTGGATTTTCACATCACATATTTTAATCTAATAATTCCATAATAAATACGAGTCACGCTTGTTTTAATATATAAAATATGCAAATTCTCTTGTCTCCTAACATATTCCTTATTTTAAGCACCCAGTAAATATGAAAGGAGGTGAAAGTAAGTCTCCTCAAATCCATCTTTCCCTTGAGAACATTTTATCCATAAAAGCCTCTAACTATTTGTGTCTTTAACAGCAAATGGAAGTTTGCTCACTGCCTTGTATAAAACATATGTCCAAACATAGTCCTTTGTTACTTTTTACTTTTTTTTAAACTGAATTTTAGAAGGTTAATGATTAAAATGTTTTTGCAGAAACATTTAAAATTTTTTCTTAAGCATGATATGGCCATTTTAGTAGGAAATATATCAAAAAAAATTTACATCTCATTTCAAACTTTAAATTTTCAAAACAGAGCTAACTGAAAAATTAAAAGAAATGATCGCTTCTATCAGTACAAATTTTGGTGTCACACTCAAGTTTCCCAACTGGCTCACTGTCCATCCTGAGTCAGCAAGTGACCTGCACAGGGACCTGGCGGGGGGGGCTTCACAGTGGCACGCACTTCCTCACACGCAGATGGTGAGGAGAAGCCCTTCCTTTCTTGTAAGTCAGTCTTCCTAATTTTGAGTACGATACCGTTTTATCTTAAATGTTTCTATCATTTAATCCCATTAGTCAAAGACTTCTAAAATTGATGAGTGACACTGACTTCTAACGATAGTAACAAACAACTTACCATCTTTTAAAAGTTTCTGTAAAATTTTCACAAATATACTCTCTTTAGATACTTCAATTGGATCATCTTTACCATCTGAACTGGACCAGCTAGAAAATAAAACCGTGAGGGGAAAATTAAATCATCAACATAGATGAAATGAATGTCTTTTGTTTGCTATTGTGCTTTTATCTTAATGGCTTCAGGGAATGGCAAAGCTGAGTTTTATGATACTGTTTCAAATCGTTTAAATAAAAGATGATGAATACAAGACAGATGGTAGATACATTTCCAGTTTCTACCCTAGATATATGGTGCTGCACTCAGGTAGCTATTTACCTAATATAACTACCATGGATTTTAATTTCAAAAACCAAGTAGTGAGGTATCTTTCAGGAGAAAATTCTTTAAGTAACATATTTAGTACAAACTTAAGTACGTACCAAAGTATAATCTTTCAGAACACAGGCAGCAGTTATAATGTTACAACATATTCTGTTTAAAAAAAAAGTCAAATGGCAACCAGTATCTAGTATAAAGTAAGAAGAGAGGCTTTTCTGGTGTAGCTGGGACTATCTACTACTGAAATACACACACACACACACACACACACACACAACACTGCTTTGCAATCAGTGTTGATAACTTAAAACTTTAAACGAGAAGCCAGGACAAGGAATCCCAGTCAAAACAACAGCATTCTTTTGTATGACTGGGATGGGACCAGGAATCAAGGAGGCACAAAGCTGGATGCCTCAGAGAGGGGACTCTAAGACCAAATTTAACTGCAATTTTAACTATCTGGGAGTGACCAGGGGTGGGAAGAAATGCTTTTGTAAAAATAGCTCTTGTGCAATTTCTCACCACAGGAAAAAGGAAAACTGTGAGTAGGAGAAGGCTTTTAGCATTCAAGTAATGATCATTTTGAAATTCTTTTCCTGGAAAGAATCCGTTCCTATGACTGATAGGAGAAGGCTTTTAGCATTCAAGTAATGATCATTTTGAAATTCTTTTCCTGGAAAGAATCCGTTCCTATGACTGATTATTCTTGGTCTTTCTTCACTATTGAATATTAACATAAACACCATTTCTGTAGACAGAAATCCTCCTTACAAACTTAGAAAAGGGCACTGATCCTCAAACTGTAATAATATATTATTTAAAAAGAAAATCGCTTCAAGTCTTTTTTGGCATGACTGCCCTGACTTCTGTGAAAATAAGAAACGTATACTTCTGTGTGAACTGATGGTCTTATAAATCAAAAGCAGTGATTTATTATACCAGTGGTCCTAAGACTTTAAGCTATTCTTAATTTTTAAATTAAAAATTTAAGATTACTAGTGACATTATTAAAATTTTTTTAACATAGTACATGTTACAATACAATTAGAAGGTGTAAAACCATTTGACATATGGTTTTACGTATGCCACTTTTCACATATCAGGAAGATTATGCTATCACCACAGACTGATTTGACAGCCTCTAGATGGCTTCAAAATGAGGGCTGGTCACCAGAAAAACCAAGGCAACATTAGAAGGCTGGGGCTTTTAGCTCTACCCTTAACCTTCCAGGGAGAGGGGGGGGTTAAGGTTACTTTGATCACCAATGGTCACTGGTACAATCAATTCTACTTACACAATGGAGGACAGGGTTTGTAGAGCTATGGATAGCTAGACAAATGGAGGGTCCTGGAGGATGGGTCCTGAGAGGGCATGGAAGCTCTGCAGCCCTTTCCCCACTGCGCCCTATGTCTCTTCACCCTACAAAATTCTTTTTACAATAAACTGGTAAATGTGTTTCTCTGAGTTCTGTGAGCCACTATAGCAAATAAATCAAACCCAAGGAAGGGGTCAAGAGAACCTCAATTTATACCCAATCAGAAGCACAAGTAAAATAACCTGGGGCTTAGGTTGGCACTGGAAGTAGGGGCGTCTTGTGGGACTAAGTCCTTAGCCCGTGGGGTCTGAGGCTATCTCCAGGTAGACAGTGCCATAATGGAAGTGAATCAGAAGACTCAGGTGGTGTCCACCCCTGAACTGACTGCTTGCTTTGTGTGTGAAGGGAAAACCCCACATAGATGGTTAGAGTTGTCTTCCTGTGCTGACTGTGTTTTCTACACACTCCCTAAAGTAGAGGCCCTTTCCAGAACCACAGTTCACATTCATGCCATGAGAACTTACTTATCTCTCTGAAGAGCTTTGCAAAGGATTTCCAGTTTGAGATCATTTATATTTACATCTTCTTCCTTCACAGCAAACAAAAAATTCTGATTAAATCTTGACTTTAAAAGAAATACACACTTACATTTTCATTATGTCAATTCATAACCCTGCACAAATATTGTAATATTTTAAAATTTCCTTTTAAGATGTTAATACTAGTTAGAAGAGTAAGCCAATTAACACATTCGCAACTGGTAAATTTTTCACTTTCCTAATACTGAGAGTGGGTGAAAATAAAAACAAAATCTGAAGCTGGCTGCCGCAAACTTCTGTTGTTCAGCACAAGTGAAACGGTCTTTTCTAAACTATCACCTTTTTCACAATACAGCTGAAAGTTGTACTGAAAGACATATCCAGCATTTGACTCAGAGACCACTCTGACTAGCATTACGTACTTTGTATTTTTATGTGGATTATAAACCCAACAAAGACAGTCCTCTACGATGAGGCATCATAGATTCATCCAAGGAAAGTTCTTGTTCAGGTTTGTACACGATGTTGGACTAATTTAAAACATAACTTTTTTTTTTTTTTTTTTGAGTTGGAGTCTCACTCGGTTGCCCAGACTGGAGTGCAATGGCTGCTCCTGGCCCCCGCTCCTGGCCACCGCAGCCTTGCCTGCTGGGCTTCGGCGATCCTTCCACCTCAGTCTTCTGAGTAGCCGGAATTACAGCGCTACCACACCCGGCTGATTTTTTTATTTATTGTAGAGATGAGGTCTCGCTGCCCAGATGGGTCTCGAACCCGTGGGCTCAGGCAATCCACTCACCTCAGCCTCCCAAAGGCGCGGAATTACAGGCTGAGCCACCGAGCCCGGCTAAAACATAACTTATTACAGGTTTAATTTTGCATCTGCTTGGATTTGACTGCATTTCTGCATTATTGGAAAAATGCAAAAACTGCAAAATTTGTAGGACTCTATTTTGTGTCATTATTTTTTAAAGAAAGGCATCACAATTGATGGATGCGTTGACCAATAATCATGTATTGTGGTTTTCTTCATTTGTCCCATCAAAATATTTAATGCTAGAAATTTTTCCATCTTGAACACTGTAGTATTGCTCCACTTTTTTGATTTCTTTGGATATTTATATCTGTGATGCATCTAATCATAATACCTGTTAGTTTCAATTGCAATCATTTCTATAAAATCATCTCTAATAAATAGTCCGACAACTTCACTTATACTTTGAGGGCCATGTGGAAATACCTTGACACCTGGATTACCAATAAACATTTCTAAGGTGTTTGTCCAACGTCTGATTTGTTCTCACCAGTACTGGGTTCACTGTCATTACATTGCATCACTGCATCACTATCTGTCTCACTATCACTAATAAGTTCACTTGATTCACCTTCAACCTCAGAAATCTCATCAGCATATGTTTCAATTATGGTAAATTAATTTTAATGTTGAAGTATAAAAGCCCTGAAATATCAAAATACAAGTATGCAACACTAATCACAACAAAATAATGAACAACTTGCCAATGTTACCAACTACATAAACCAGTAACAACATTGAACAGTAGATATCAGATAATTACCTCAATTAACTCTCTCTCCTTGCCTGACTATTCATTTTCAAGCAAAATATAATAACACATTCATATGACAATGTTGCAGCACTCAGAAACAGAATTTGCAAAGATGCATTCATGTCAGTGGCAACCAAGAACAGATTCTGGAATGATGTGAATTCATATCAGTAACAGAGAATGATGCAACGTAACAACTAGGAACAGAATTTGGAATGATGTAAATTCATGTCAGCAGTCACAATGAGTTACTTCCAGATTTTCCTGTGACAATTTTTCCATCCAAAGAAATCAAAAAAGTGGAGCAATACTACAGTGTTCAAGATGGAAAAATGTCTGTGTAATTTCTCTGTGAATTACTTCCAGATTTTCCTGTGACAATATGATTTTATCAGGAACCTGTGAAGTTTAAGACTTTTAAATAAGGTAATGCAGAAGTCAATACATTGTGTTTTTAAAATCTACCAAACTTTCAATTGCATGACTAGGCAACAGAACAACTACTTATCCTACAAAATTTTCACTATCACCTTCTTCTTTTTTTTTTTTTTTAAAGTCAGAGTCTCACTCTATTGCCTAGGCTGGAGTGCAGTGGCACAATCACAGCTCATTGCAGGATTGACCTCCTGGGCTTGGGCAATCCTTCTGCCTCCGTCTCCTAAGTAGCTGGAATTACAGGTATGCACCAACATGCCTGGCTAATTTTTCTTTCTTTTCTTTTTGTATACGCAAGGTCTCACTATGTTGCACAGGCTAGTCTCGAACTCCTGGGCTCAATTCTCCCATCTCAGCCTCCCAAAGTGCTGGAATGACAGGCATGAACCACCACATCCAGCATAATAACCTTTTGAAAGCTGAGATACTGCTTCTCTTATGGTGAATATTATGAGGAAACATTGATAGAGCAACATATCAGATTCAAAAGCTAATGACTTGGCCAGACATGATGGCCCATGCCTGTAGTCCCAGCTACTCAGGAGGTGAGCTGTGATGATGTCAATGCACTCTAGCGTGGGTGAGAGAGTATGACCCCAAACACAAAAAAGAAAAAACTAATGACTTAGTAAACGAATGAGAAAAAATACTTCAGGACTTTTGAAAAACAGCATTCTTGATTTGTGCAAAGAAAAAGACATATGAGAATGTGTGACAATTATTAGAAAAAGCGCAGCTGTCTCTGGACAGTTTTTCTAAAGAACTATATTCATTCTGAGTTAGGGGCAGCTGACCCAAAGCTAGTCTTTCTTCATTAATACATTTACATGATTGACTAAAAGTGGTATTCCCCCCGCCCTTTTTTTGAGTTGGAAAAGCCACTGAGCACAGCTTTTCCCCTCTTTTTATATGTAATCAGTTGCCTGAAATCATCTTAAGTGATTTTACTCACCTCGTCAATATATTCCAGCAAGTCCAAAGCTTTCTTGAAATCATATTCATTAGCTCTTCTGTTTTCTTCACAGATATACAACTATGACAAGTTAAAATAAGGTGGAACATTACTTTAAGTAATCATATAACTAATACAAGAGAAATTTATGGAAAGAAGTCATTCTTTTAAGTAATTTGTAGACATTTTTATAGTAAAGACAATCTCACATTTGGAAACTATACTACCTCAACCTTACCAATAAACTGTCTTTTAAAAAATGTGTATCTTGGCTAGGCTTGGTGGCCCAGCCTATAATTCCAGCACTTTGGGAGGCTGAGGTGAGTGGATGGCCTGAGCCTGCGGGTTTGAGACCAGTCTGGGCAACTTGGCGAGACCTCGTCTGTACAATAAATCAAAAGTGAGCTGAGTATGGTAGCACACGCCTCTGGTTCCAGCTACTTGGAAGGCTGAGGTAGAAGGATCGCTGGAGCCCGTAAGGAGCACTCAGGTGGCCATGAGCATGCATGCCACTGCACTCCAGTCTGGGCAATGGAGTGAGACTCTAAGAAAAAAAAAAGCATATCTTAAACCAGTAATTAATTTGCATAACTTGATTTATGTACTTTAAAAATGTCAGTAAATTTATATTCTTGGATCAAAAAGATAGTGGATACATTTCAGTATTCCTTTGAGCATAACCTTTGAAATAAACTGCCAATTTTGCATTTATAAAGCTTGTTATAATGCTTTGGAAATGCTGCCTTTGTAAATGGTTTTAAAAATTGATACTGTGATACTTTTTTTTCACTGTGATGTGAGGTGAGAATGAGACCTATGAAAAAGCATAAATTGGTCTAAGTTCAGTTAAGGGAAAACATATGCCAACATATTACCAATAGTTATCCCTGGTTAGTTAGATTATAGCTGTCTACATACTCATTTCTATATTCTTCAAGTTTCCTGAAATTTTATGATTAAAAAATGTTTGCCTTATTAAAATGTCAATTTAAATTTTTCCTGTCTTCCTTTTTTAGCTATTTATAATATAGCAAATACCATTTAAAAAGATTGTATGTACTCCTTTAACAATACTCAAGCCACTTCAGGAAAAAAGCTCTCTGCTTGTGTTCATTGTCTTACAACATTTTAATTTTTTTTTTTTTTTTTTTTTTTT